AAAAATAACCGGCGAAAGTTAACTACTTTATTCCAAAAACAATAATTCAGACAATAATACAACGTATATACATGTAAGAACATTCATTTTATTTTTCTCCAAAATAATTTCGATATGTACAGCTTACGATTATATTTATCGGCCTGATATCATGCTTGCTGATCAATGAACATTTTCGAGATAAAATATTGAGTCGGGTATAAGTCCCTACTTACATGCACTAAATATAATTAATAACACAGTCATTATTGATGCCCTGACTGAGCGCTATCCGTGGAGAAGATTGACTTTGTTTATTTAAAGTATGTACGCACGTGTGTGTGTGTGTGGGGGGGGGGGGGGGGTCCACACTAAAATTATTCCGGGGAGTGTTGAGATCTGCAATTCTATGTTTTGCAATAAAGTAGTGGCATGGCGAAATTTTTATTTTTTTTTCTTGGTGACGTGACAGATTATACATATACATATTGCGTAATTAATTACACTCATTACATATTCTTTTATCAGGTGCATGTATCCCCTCCCCTTTTTCAATTAAGCATATAGCAGGTATATATGTATATACACATGTATATATAACATGGGTGGTTTGCAGTCTATTGTTTTTGGAAAACCATTCAATAAACTCTAGATGATTTGTTGTTGATTTTTTTTTTCAAGCACCCCCCTCTTTTAATCAAGATTGTTTCGAACGCAACGATCTGTATAGATTAATACAAAATATTTTACAGGTATATTCATAAGAAGTGTTTATTTTTTCCCAATTTGCATTTTTTTTCATTTCAATAATCGAATTATTTATTAAAATTTCAAAGTATTTAAAACGACGCCGCTTTAGATCCACCACAAAACTGACAAATACGGAATTCCCATTAGCATATTGATGTAAACTTCCGGCCCCCCTTTGGCAATTTCTCGGATTGTTGAAGCAGTAGATCGAGTTTGACGAGGGATTTTTAATATTTGCAAGTGTGGTGCGCCTTTCTAGCTGCAGTGTCCGTAAGTTTAGACAAAGAAAGACTGGTCACAGAAAGAAGATGGTTGAAGGGAATTTATTTGACGGAGTTTTAGACGAAAATACAAGTGGATGTGGCAGACCTAGAAAAATTCAAGATGGCGGCGTTGGGGACCTTGGTTTATTATAAGGTAAGGGTATATTTTTTTTATTAAAAGAAAAATAAGTAACGTCAGGTGCCTGTGGTCCTAGCAGTCGTACTTTTCCCCTGGCACAGTGTTCACAATTTGACCATTATTTTCTTTGCACAGGTGTATACCAACATGTATGCCTTTGTAATCATCTTATGCTTAGTGGGTATTTTACATTGGTGGATCAATAAGTGAGGGGAATCCCTACCATCCTAATAGATTCAAAATGTGGTAAGCTTCCAGAAAATGAGGAACAATAGCGGAGGTGTTTTATATACTGAATTGGCGAGAGATTTTTCCGTTATTTCATGAACATGACAGGGAGCACACACTGGTTATGTATCAAAAAGTTCTTTTAAAAAATCCTTTGTTTCAGAGACAAGGCAAAAAAAAATTGTATAATCATATTTTATAATTGTAGAGGGGTAAACAAGCATAATTGATTTATCATTATACATGTAATGCTAACCTTACAGTAACTTGTTTCAAAGAACCATATCAAAACTCACATCTTGTGACAATTAGCAATGATCATCAGATCAATGATAATAAAATTTAGAGAGAGAAAATGATATTAATTAATACTTAAAACCGTTCTAAACAAACATTCTAAATTAGGTGCTTCTATGTGCATTGCTGATTTGACCCCCCCCCCCCACCCAGGGTTTTAACCATAAAACCATTGGGGTCTCTTGCATGTTTGTACAACCTAGCCCCTGACCTACAAGTAATAGTAAAATACCCCCCTTCTTCCTTTTTAAAAATCCTAGATCCGCCACGGAACTGTGACCTTATATCATGCACTGCAAAGTTACTCTATAACTGTGTAAGGGTATAAGTTCACTAAGTGGTACAGAATTTGAACTTCAAATGGACAGCTATTTTAAAGGGACAAAGGCCTCACAGTCATCTGTAGCTGCAGATCTGTAGCTCTCCGAAAAAATATATACTGATAGACCGGAGAGCTACAGTGCCACCCATTGAAAAAACTGTATATTTATTGCGCACAAAAAATTGCGCTCGATTCTTGATTAATTTATCCAAATTCTTACCCCAATTGCAAAAAAAATGGAAGATTTCAAAAAATTACTCTCTCGATCGTCTATCAAGTTCTCTCGTTATATTGGACCGAATTATCTTTGAAACCAAAATGGCAGTATAAATAAGCGATGATTGCAATATCAGGGCCAGGAGGACTATTAACAACAATAATGAGGAGTGTTTTATTGTGGAAAGAGTCAAAGAATATGTTAGGAACACAGGGTTAGTAATATTTTGAGATTACAGCTTTAAAACCATGGAGAAATAAATCGAGAACCGAGCGCATTTTTTTGTGCGCAATAAATATAGTTTTTTCAATGGGTGGCTCTGTAGCTCTCCGGTCTATCAATAATTTTTTTTTTTTTCAGAGAGCTACAGATCTGCAGCTAAGTCATCTGAGACTATTTTAGCTAATATGCATGCATAACGTTACAATAAGAAATCAATCTGTTAGCATTGCATCCGTGTATTGCAGGATACATATTGCGAAATCTATCTGTGCTGGACCTCTCGTATACATTTGAAGTGAAATGGAAAACGAAACTAAATAAAACATGAGTATGAACAAAAAAGTACTTCCATATCGTCTTACAATCCTCAAAAAAATTCTACAAAATATACCTACCATATAAAATGATCACTTTTAGGTACTCGTTCGTCTGTTACGTTTGTGTACGTCGCCATTTTGAAACGGTGTCAACTGAAATCGTTACTTCGGTTATTTTTAAACGTAGCAGGTTTGGCGAAATTACATTTGGCTCGAAAAAGAAGATTTAAAAACATTGGAAAATTTTCATTTTTTTTAATTAAAAGATTTTTTGTTGTTATTCAGTTGAAATGGGCCGATAACTTACAAAGGTATTTTTTATAGGCAATTATAACCCCCCCCCCCCCCCCCCCCCTAAAAAAAATCAAAGTAATGCACTTTTAATAAAGTCACGAGAAAATTCGAGAACGTACAAAATCAATATAATATTTTTTTTAAAAAAAAATTGTTATAAAATTAATCATTATTATATCGATTTAGGATGTACTCCTCGTGTCCTCGTGCTTTTGTCAATAAATATAATTTGTGCATGGCTTAAAGATGCACTTTTATAACTGAACGAGAGGGGAAAAGAATCATTGTGTATACCAGTGACTTATTAGTTTATTGGTCCCTGTATATTTACATGTATATGCATTTATACCACAAGCACCTGGCATTACTCATTCATTTTTAATAGAAAAATATACCCCCTACCTTTTATTAGGTAGGGAGTACATGTATTTTTTTAGAAAAGATATTAAATTAAGTAACGTTAGATGCCTATGATTTATACATGTATGTTTACATCCAAGATTTATTTAACAACTGTGTGAAATAATTGTACTGATATTTTTATTTGAATAAAATATCGACTTAATCTTCAAGAGGCTTAAATTGTTAGACATGTACAATATGTACCTGTACTCTTTTAATTAAATTATCAAATAAATTCTGAGGAAGCCCAGGTTGGGTCCTTTCTAAAATGGGAATATACACTGTATAGATGAGAGGATCTTTCTGGGTATCGCTTTATAAGGAGAAAGCAATATTTATTTTTTTATTATAAAAAAATTAATTTCATTACAAAGAAACTAGGAATCAATTCCTTTTCAATATCCCAGTGACTGACATGTACTGGTGACATCCTCCCCGTTAGAAGTGAAAATGGCCACACAGCCATTACAAACCTCTCTGGAAAATAAAATTGTTTAATACAAGTAAATTATATTCCAAAGTCATGTGTTGGTGTTTTTAAAATAATGTTGTTGTTTGCTCCAGGACTTTGCAAGGTTTTAACAATATATTGTGATTCACAAGTACATCAGGAGGACAATATTTTCAAAGACCCGGGACTAGTACATTTATTAAATGATAAGGAATTTTGGTGCTCTCTGATTGGTCTAGACACCATTTACTGGTGTTTACCTCAGAGTGAGTTCACCTCTAATGACGTTCTGGGAGGTTTATTCGGGTTTTCCCTCTCGACCAACCATAGATTTGCTTACAGCTTTTTCGACCAATCAGATTGCGTGTTTCAAAGCATGTGTCGGTGTGAATGTAAACATGTCAGACGCCATTACCAAGGAGATTACGAACTTTTGAAAGTAAATGGTTGAGTATTTATTGATTATTAATATTGTTTTTGACTTTTTAACTAATATTTGTTTAGCTGTTGAAGTATATCAACATGTAAAAAGTGTAATTACACTTTACATTATGGATGTTTATATTTGATGGAGACAAGAATGAAAGAGTCAGCAGTGTTGTAAAATTCCTCATCATTTAATAAAACGGTTATTGACTTTTGAATTCGGTCTACTCGTGACTATACAGACCTGGTCAGGTATTGGTTAACCTCGGCCTTCGGCCTCGGTCAACCAATACCTGACCAGGTCTGTATAGTCACGAGTAGACCTCATCAAAAGTCAATAATTGTATAGAATATCACAAACAATAACCGATATCATAAAATTAATGGAATATATCAGCAAGTTTGATTCCTCTATCGACACGTAGGAAGCAAATCAATATATTGGAAGGGAAAGGTTGGGGGGGGGGGGTGATTGAAAGACAAATAAAACGAACTCGAAAAAAATAAATTGACAAGCGAAACAAGGTAAAAATATTATTTCGTGGTGGGGTGTGGGGGATGGGGTCATTTTTTTTCAAACGCCACCACCACTTACCCTTTTTTGGATTACACTGCACTTACAGGGGCCGGTAACATACACTATATTTGATTTTATCTAAACACTAAATGTGTACAATTCTACCACGGTTATTGAAAACTTCAAAGGAAGCCGCTGGACATTATTCTCCAATAAATCACGAACGTCATCAAAAAATTATCAGATCAGAAACACGTATCAGATCTGAACAATTCAAATGCATGTTTGGCTGTAGAATGAAATACTTGTTTACACCGCATCAATGTGTCGTCTTTTGCAGTATAGACACTGTAAATTGCATCAAGTTGCTGATGAATGTCGGTTTTTATAGCTAAGCGGGGCTATTCCACGGACCTCCCTACACATTAAACAACGTGATTTTAGCAGTAAAACAAGAACATGATTTTGTTTTTGTATATTCATTTTAACTGATCAATACATATTACGAACAAATTTGTAATTTAAAAATACTATTTTTAATGCAACGAAAGCTCAAATCATCTGCATTCCATGCATATATAGGTAAGTCAACAAAATTTCTCTCTGGTGTTAAATAGAACAGCGTAATCGAGACATGGTGACCTAATTCGTTTCTCTATAGAGGAAACAATCAGCCGTATTTATCGCCCTTGGTAGAATAGAAATAAAGTCCTTGTTGTCGTGAATGATGCAGAATAACCTACTCAGTCTCGAAATGTTGTTTGAAATATAAAAGCCTCGGCTAACGCCTCGGCTTTTATCTTTCAAACAACATTTCGAGACCGAGGAGGTTATTCTGCAACATTCACGAAAACCTAATTCGTTTCTCTATAGAGGAAACAATCGGCCGTATTTATCGCCCTTGGTAGAATAGAAATAAAGTCCGCGTTTTCGTGAATGATGCAGAATAACCTCCTCGGTCTCGAAATGTTATTTGAAATATAAAAGCCTCGGCTAACGCCTCGGCTTTTATATTTCAAACAACATTTCTCGACCTCGGAGGTTATTCTGCAACATTCACGAAAACGCGGACTTTATTTCTTAAATAGAGATAAATTTAAATCTATACCACTCTGTGAGATAAAATCTATACCGCTCTGTGATTGCACCTTGTCTGTTAACAGTAGGGAGGGGGGGAAGGGGTTAACCTTTGTCCTAATGTCAATGTACGTAAATGCCGATATAATATCTATCATGAATAAAAGGGGAGGGGGTGAGCACCCCTCCCCCGGGTTCCGACACTATCTCCTCATAGCTTCATTTTTATTTTATGACTTTCTAATACTTAATGACTTAATACTTTATATTTTAAGCATGTTATTGTTGCCTACATGTACCTATACTTGATAATTGAAATAAATACTTACTTGCAAGAGGCACTTGGATAATTTGGACATGACGTTACTTGGCAAGCAGGTGCTTTACAAAATATGTTGGATTGACCATTCGGGCAACCTTTAAAAGGAAATGAAAAAAAAAAGAAAGGAAAGAGAATATAATTATGGATTTCAACTGTTTAGGTACACTTTTGACAATCAATAAATATAACCTTTTCGCCATATATTATTGTTGAGAATTCAGACTAATATTATACATGTACCGTAGTTGACTTAATACTGTTGTTATTATACCCCCCGCTTGAAAAGCGGGAGGGTATATAGTAATCGTTAATTCCGTCCGTCCGTCCGTCCGTCCGTCTGTACGTCCGTCCGTCCGTCCGTCCGTCTGTCTGTCTGTCCGTCCGTCTGTTACGCTTTGGGGTACCCATCTCTTATCCGTAACTCCTCTAATACCACTGAATGAAATTTGATGAAACTTTCACAGAATCTTTATTACATATTGCCATTGTGCACCTCCTATTTTACTTTTTGATCCGACACATATTTTGGGTTTCCCGGCCACAGGAAAACATGGACTTTTTCACCACTTATAACCATAGGGGAGGCGGGGGGTATCATTTAGTGAGCCCATCGCTCACAGTACCTCTAGTTTATATTTTGCCGTTGTGGACATTATACAATTACTGTTGCTAATATTATAGGTCGTTTATATTGACATTATACATATATCTTTGTTGAGTATTCAGTCTGACATTATACCGTTGTAGACATTATATTTTTGTCGACTGTATACCATTGTTGCACGAGTTCAGACATTCCTGTTCCGTTCGGAAGTTGTTTGCGTTCCCACCGCAGCAGCCATAGTAAAACTCCTCGCACCTGTGCATGTGGGAGTTGTAAAACCAGCGAGGGCATAATCCGTCACACATACCCACGTCCTTTGGAAGGTGACATACCGACGCTACAAACATATGTTTATAAGGCTTTAAAACCCCACTATTTATAATTATTCTGTTATCGATGTCCCCTCCAAAAATACCCCCCCCCCCCCAACAAGAATACATCCTAGCACGAAACTGAAAAAAAGAGGTTGAACCTGAAAAGAAGAGATTGAAGCAGTTTATATTTATGAACATATGCGCTAGAAAGGGTAGGGGATAACATTACATGTACAGATTTTGTATTTTACAAAGTCGGGCATTGAAGAGGACTGGATAGTGTTGTGGGCTTTTAGATTTTATGAACACTTAAAAGGATCTGGGTGGTGGTCTGAAATTAGGTATCTTCATGTTTATTTCTACATGATATGTTTAAATTACTGCATGTAATATACTCACAAAATGCGGATCTCACCAAAACACAGAAATAAAATAAGAGAAAAACCTGCAACGAAAGAGAAACATTATCAGAAAACCATCCATGTAGATTTTAATTTATAAAGAACTATATGCGGTATACTGCATAATTATCTTTGCCCCTACAAATGTCAAATTTTGAACATATGACGTCATTGCATATATGAAATATCTACGATTTTAAAGGAATTGAAAAAGTGCACTCTTTGGCACTTTCTTTGCGCCTTTGAAGAATTTTTTAATGCCAAAAATAATTTTTTCATGGATGCAAAATCGTTACTGGCTTTTTGGAGAGGAGATGCGGAGAGGATTAGGTAGGGTATACCTTAAATGTTGTTATTTTAATGGATACCATTCGATAGGTTCTGACACATTCATGAAGTCATACATATTCTCCTTTCCAAAGACATTTTAAAGATAAACAAGATCCAGCAAATGTCCTTTAAAAAAGACTTAAAAGTAGCATTGTGTGGTTCAAAAATAATTTCCAATGATTGAAAAAAAGAAGGATGCGGTGATCGCACCTACCAACCAGCCATCTCTACGGCCTAAATGTATGAAGGGCCCTTAAGACTTGTAGAAAAATCTAGATATTCACGTCTTATTTAATATAAAGTGGTCGATAACAGATCAATGTCCTTAATATGAAACAAATTTTGTTCTTGTTTAAAGATAAAGGCGGTCAAAAACAAGAACAAAAATAATCAGGAACACTGAGTCTAAGATAAAAATAAAACAAACCTTCATGATAATATGTGCAGGATACTTCATCTCCAGCTGTTCATAGGTTCTTCTGTTAAGGCCAACTTAAAAAAAGTGTTGGTTTGCCGGCTCGCGACCGACCCAATGAAACTGGCTGGACTTGAAACTTTTTTTTAATCTCCAGGAAACATTTTATTTTTTTCAAAATTTATCTAAAAGCTTTTTAATTCCTTTATTTAATTTTTTTAAAGTCTCTTTGAAAAAAAAAATTATCTATACTTCCTACATATCTATTTTTCTAATCCTTATTCTAGATAAGGACAAGCGAACATTTTTTAACTATTGCCTAATCACCAGTGCCGCGTGTACTTTTGTCACGATAAATATGATATGACAAATTATTAGATATGAGGATATAATTTTATCACGTTTGAAAAGACAGGTGCGCATCTTCAATCATTTGATTAAAATCTCATCTCGTTCTTTAGATTATCGTTTTTATACATCTTTTAACTTTCATAGGATAATCAAGATATACGAACATGTCCATCTTTAAGATTCAGTGTCTTTACAATATTAATGAACCAAAAAACTTTTTTTTGTGAGTAATATATAGGAAACAAATTTATTTTAAAATATCTGCAATATAGGCCTATACAATTATAACCGTGATTTTAACAAAAATGAATTTTAATGTCAACTTTAACAAAACAGTCCTATATTTAAACAGCCATATGCTACTAACCAATGAATACGTGCGCTTATATTAAATCGGACATGTTCATGTACAATTTCTGCTACACTTAACAACGCTTTTAAACGAGAGGAAAAGTTCTTTTAAAAAAATTCAGCTTTCAGTGTAAATCTCCCGTTTAAAAATGAACTAAAAAAGTATTGGCAAGATTGTTTGCGATTTTTTTTTCTGCACAGGTATAAACAGGATGAGAGGACAATAAAAATACCGGTAGCA